ATGTCATAATAAACAAATTGCTAAAAGTGTTATGACAATTTGTTTTTGCTGCCATTTCAGATAATATAAATACAGTGATTCTTAGTTTAAAAAACAAAACCTTTGTCCAGTTGATAGAAAAAAAGACCATCGAAATAGTTTTAAAAGTTCTTTGTATTTTTTTTTAATTTTTTCTTGAATAAAACACTTTTATTTTTCATTTTTTTTTATAAACATTTATTTAAGAAACTTTTTTGTTTTTATTATTTTGTTTAATATTTAAATATTTGTTTCGTTACATAAATATTACGATTTATTTATTGTTTTAATAATTCTCTTAAAATTGTATTATTTTTGTATTAATAATTATAATCTTCATTATTATTATTTAATTAAATGTTTTTATTATATTAAGCTTTTTTTAATATAAACAATAAAACTTGATATAAATTATAATTATAAAAAAATAAAATGAACCAAAAAAATAAGAAAATAATTTTAAAAAATTTTACTGTTTGTAGTATTTTATAAACTTAAATTAAAAATAATAATCTTTAAATTATGTGTTTTTATTTAATTCATAATTTGACTTAAATCGAAAAATAAAAGAAAAATCTGAAATAATTTTTTTTTTAATTAAATTTTCTTTTGTTTTCAAGAAAATTGTAATTAGTAAATAATTGCACATAATTAGTATGAGTAAGTTAATAAATGTTAATTAAAATATTCGTTTTGGTTTTTCAGACAACTGAAAATTGTGAAATTTTCTTTAATTTCTTTATGTAAAATAAAATAATGAGATTTTTATAAAATTTAATACATGATTAGGAGTTTTTTTGCAATTTTTGAATTGGACTTTAATTTGATGTTTTTCGAATTAACTTTCCAGGTTTTATTCTGAGGACATTCAGGTTTTTAGATTTATATAAGAATCATGTTCTTTAAAAATTCGTTATATACTATTGGTTGAACATTTTGACTTTGTTTTCAGTTGATTTTAAAATGTTACAATTTGCTACTATAAATTTCAATTCGATTTGAGATATTCTTTAAGAAACTTTAATTCGCTATCAAAACCACCAATAATGGGGTAATTTGGACTAAGTAACTGTGTAATAACATAAATTGTTTTAAAAACTTGAAACTACGCTCTGTGTTGAAACATTTTTTTATCAACTTTTAATCCTTTTAGGGCTACCAATTCCATTTGTTACTTTTTTTTTCAATTTATTAATTGCTTAAACATTTGTTTTAATTTCAATGTTATAAAAGGCACAGTATTTTATAGTTTTACTTAAAATTTATTTATGAAATAATATTAATGAGAAGATAAAAAAGAATTTCTTCGAAAATAAAAAATCCGTTAATTTGTTTTATAATTTCTAATATTAAATTAAAATAAAAGAGGTTTTCAAAAGTAAGAGTTAATGCGTTTAATGCAAGCGTTTTCACTTCCAAAATCACGAATAAAATTCTATTTAAAGTTCTGGGAACATTCTTGATAGTTTAAGTTGCTTCTAAATGTTTGTATTTTTATAAAATTGACAGGAATAAAACAAGTATTAACGCGAAACCTGTCAAAAAGTAAAGAATTTATCTTGGTTCAGCTCAGCGATAGCTTAGGCTTAATTTCCCACCGAACGAATTTCAAACAAAATTTGATATAAATTGGAAATTTATATCAATATCAAATGCTGCAACGTTGTTTCCAACACTTTCAAGTATTGATTCGATACGAAAATTAAAATTTTCAAATTTGTATTTTAAGTACTTTGTGACTCGTATGGATTTCTTTTTGAAAGATTTGCTACGTTCACAACTATCAAATATTTTATGAAATCACGTGATCTAAATAAATAAATATCTATTTATTTATACGTAATATAGCTGAAACGCATTTTTATTTGTTTCGATATTCACCCCTATTCTGCATGTCGATTACGATCGAAAATTGGTATTCCAACAAAAATCGGAATAGTAAGAAAGAGATGAAACAATTGAAATGAAATTATTTCAATGCTTTACGATTGTGTGTATTCTTCATTACGATCGTAAGTACGTTTTTTGTAAGTTCTTATTTAGCAACGGAGCTTCGAATCAAAATGCAGAATACCAAAGTTGCCAAATGGAGAAAATTTCGATTCGAATTGAAATGCAGAATAGGGGCGCTTATTTGCTATTACAAAAATTATGTAAGAACAAATAGAAAACATTAAAAAAATAGTGATTGTATCCTTTTGTTCAATATTTGATAGATGTGAACGTACCTTAAGATAAAACACAACTTTTACATTTGATATCAAACTTTTTAAAGTCCAACAGACTAGATCAAGGGCCAAATTTTGAGATTCGGTATTAATCGAAATCTCAGTTCAACGGAAATAGCTTTACTTGTTCTTTGTTGTTGTATCAGCGACACGTGTAAAGTCGATGAGGCGGGATTGACAATCCTTGGGCGTTGTTCGTTGAACTCCGAGTCGTTCCTGTGAGAAGAACCGATAGTCGTGGGAACACCTTTTTCTTTGTCATTTCGATTGCTTTTCATATGAACAGAATATTGTGTTTTTCTAAATTAACAATTAAACTTTCAATCTTCATTATAAACTTCACATCCGACCATTTTCTTTTCTAATCATTTTAGAAAAAGCTATCGACATGTTCGCCACATAATAAGTCTCACAGTTTCAGCTAATTATTTATTGATCACCTGTTTCCTATTCCTATCAAATATTTAAAGCAGATATCTTCGATTCCTAACCAAAAATTTAACATACAACTTTATTAGATTCTAAAATATAGGACGTATATTAACTTTTAGATAAATGGACGGTTTTAGAAAGCTCTGAAAAAGAGCAAACTTGAAAACAGGTGAATCATACATTCAGATCAAATGTTGCCATTACGTAGTATAACTACCCAGTTATAGATTAAGCTGGAAGATTCATACCTCAATGTAGTTGTGTGCGGCAAGTTACAAGCACAAAAGCATAGAGTAGATCTACTTTTGTAAGTGTGGCCAAGCGGCGCATGAACATGACAGCTGATTTTGATAATTTATATTCTATTTTAATTTGTATCAATTTTAATCACTGCTATTTTGTATTTCAATTCGAATCGAAATGTTCTCCGTTTGGTATTCAGCATTTTCGATTCGAAGCTCCGTCACTAAAATAATCACCCCTAATCTGCATTTCAATTCGAATCGAAATTTTCTCTCCGTTTGCAACTTTGGTATTCTGCATTTCGATTCGACTCTCCGCCACATAAACAACAACTTACAAAAACGTAGGTACGATCGTAAGGCAGAATACACACATTCGTAAAGCATTGAAAAGAAATGGAATTGCTTCTTCTTTTTCTTACGATTTGCAGAATAGGCGTGAATAACTTTCAAAAGCGTATTTAGGATCGTAATGTAATATACACACAAAACGCGTAGACAATTTAATCACCCCTAATAGAATTAAACTTAATATTGATTCCCATATTAATTCCTTTTCCGATTCTTTTCTCGATAAAAGAACTCCTGTCGTGAATGTTCGCGATAGAATCTTGTAAACAATTAACAAATGTTAAGAACAAAATCAACTATTGTTTACGAACTACAAAATTTATTCACAACTGTTGCAATCAAGTTCAACTATTGTGAATGCATAGTTCAAGGAACATTCACAATAGAAAATTTAAACTCGAATTTAAAAGAATTTTCACAAGTTATTCGCGACAATTATTTTAAAATAAAATTTCTACTTGATATTCCAAAAATTAGGTTTTTTTATGATCGTAATGAAATTTTATGAAAGAAGAAAAATAATTTATATTAAAAATTGAAAACCTCTTAAATTGTCCCTTAAAAAATCAAATTACTTTCCTGTTTTTAAAATTTTTTATCTAATAATTTTTGTTAATCTTAAAAGAAAAAAACACATTTACAATCAATTAATTTTTACTTCCAACTAATTTCAATTTAATTTTATTTTTCTGATGATGTTTTTGTTTTTGTACCTCTCCATAAATGCAATAATGAAAGAAAATGTGTTTAAAAAAAAAAAAAAGAAATTCTTTTTTGAAAAAAAAAAAATGGTGCTTAATGATGAATGAGTGCAAAATTTATTTTGATTTTTTTTTACTTAAAATTAATTATTAATTTTTATTATTTTTATTTTAAACTGTTTTTAATATACAAAATATATATTTGTTTAAATTTAAAGTATAAAATATTATTTATTATTAAGATTTATTTAATTGTTGTTGTTGTTGTTTAATTTAATAATAATTATTATTATACGAGTTTTAGTTTTATATTTTTCTCAATATTAACAACTAAATATGGCGTTTTGTTAAACAAAATTTAATTTTTAATATGTAATTTCTTTTAATATTTTTCTTATTTTTTGTAATTTAAATTTTAGATTTTAAAGTTACGCTCCAATGTAAATTAAATTAACTAAAGAATTTAAATTTCTTAATTCAGAAAAATAAAATTAAAATGTGTGGGATATTGGTTTTTGTAGTTTAACCTAAAAACTAGTTACACAATTTTAACAAAATTAATTTTAAAGAAGAAAAAGAACAAGTTTATATATATTTTTACTTAAAATATATAAACTTAAGTTTCTTTTTTTTTTTGTTAAATTTTCTGTTTTTTTTTTAACTTATGAAACTAAATTGATATTTAAAGTATTAAGTAAATATTACACACAAGATGAAAAAAAATATAATTATAATAATAAAATATATATGATCATTATTATAAAAAAACAATTATATTGATTAATTTTTGTTGTTGTTGTTTTGTTAGGCTTATTTTTATATATAAAAAAAGTGAAAAAAGGCAATTTTTTGCCCAAGAGATTTTGCAAAAAAGTTTTAAATAATGAAAAGTAGAGAATTTGAAAATTTTGTTCGTTTTTTTAGAAAATATACCAAAAAAAAGAGATATCTTTAATATTTAATAGAAGATTTTTTGTTGTTGTGGTTTGTAATACAATGAGATTCATTTCTTGTAGATTTTTATTTTAAAGTGTTTTCCACTTTTTTTTAGTTGTTGATGAGACTCTTCTTTCCTTTGTTATTAAAGATGATTTTGAGTTTGTTGTTGTTTAAATCCTGTAGTAGTCATTGTTGTTATTTTAGTTGAGAAGTTTGTTTTTTTTTTAATTTCAGAGTAGTTGCAGCTTAAACACAGGTTTTATTTCTTCTGTAATTTTTTACTTTTTAGTCATCTACCTTTTAGACGCCCCAGTTGTTTTATATATTTTTTTCAATTAAACGTTATTTTTTTATTTTTACGTTATTTTTGTGGGAGTTGGGTTAGAGAGCATGTTGAAGAGAGGAGCAAAAGAAGAAAAAAATGGTTAAGAGTTAGTAAATATTAATTGTTATTAATTAAATGTTTGATGTTTCGATAATTTGATGCAATTAAGTATTAGAAAACAAATTAAATTACATTTTAATAATCATGTGTAGGTAGGTGTATGTTTTTAAATAATTTTATAAAACAAAAATAAATATTTAAAATAAATATTGCTTTAATTTTTATTAAAAATTGTTAAAACGTTTAAAATCTTTTAAGTTTTGATAAAGTTCCTAAATGGCTTCAGTATTTTTGTTTGAAATTAATCACCCCTATTCTGCATTCTGATTACGTTTACGCATTTAGTTACGCAACGATCGAAAAAAGGTATTTCAACAAAAAACTGAATCGTAAGAAAAAGAAAAAGCAATTCCATTTCGTTTCAATGCTTTACGAGTGTGTGTATTCTGCGTTACGATCGTACCTACGTTTTTGTAAGTTGTTGTTTATGTGGCGGAGAGTCGAATCGCAATGCAGAATACCAAAGTTGCTAAACGGAGAAAATTTCGATTCGAATTGAAATGCAGAATAGGGGCCAATAAGGGGCGAATTCGTAAATGTTGAATAAAGTTTTCGCAGAGAAATTTCTTATGAAGTAGATTTCAAAAGACTACTTCTTGTAGATTGAAAGTGTGGGAAGATTTTTGTACAATAAGCATGTTTCTCTATCAAAAACTACAGAGGGATTCCAATCACATGTTACAATGACAGAATCGGGCTATTAGTAATGAGCGACAATTGATGAGATATGTCCTTTTTAAGATTATATCAATCGATACCGAGTACATTTTACGTTAATTTTAAAACTTTGTTTCCATACAAAAGCTTCTTATATTTGAATGATTTTAAAATTGTCACTAAGTGACACTTTTGTCAATAGCCATTTACATGAGGACTCGAAATTCAAAAAGAATTTGAATCAATTTTGATTAACATTCCTTTGGTCTAGAAAGAATGATATAACAGAACAATGATCAAATATAGATCTTGTTGTAGAGAACTTTAAAAAAGTTTCTGAATCAGTAAAGTTTTCAAAATTTATCGAAAATGTATCGAATTATCGAGTCAGATTTTGATTCCTTATATCGAACATTTTACCGTCATTGAAATTTCTCTCTTTAATACGAGAACTTATTCGATTACGAATACGATAATTCAGCCACTGATCACTTGACTATTTGATCAATTCGTCAAATCAAATTTTAATGATCATAATAGATTAAGAGTCAATATTTTGATATCTCGTAAGACTGAGAGCAAAAACTAAAAAATTTTTCAGTATTTAAGTTAAACTTTCTCATTCCTTTTTTTTCACAAGATAGTAAAAGAAAAGCAACATTTATTTCAAATTTTCATTTAAAAAATCGAATGACATCCCTGCAATTCTCATTAAGCCTTAAACTGTCTTGCTAACTTTTAGCAGAATAACGAAGAAAGTCATGATATAGTTATCATCGAATTGTCATGCAAATGAGGCCTTAATATAGACTTTACAGTTTATGTTTATAAGAGCTAATAATGAGCATGATTGGGATGGATTTGACAATTTTAAGAACTTTTAATTTTAAATTAGTTTTGTGTGTAAAAACCGTTACCAAATTTAACTGATATTTGAAATTGAAAAGAAAAATTTCTCATATAGATTTCAAAAAGTAAACAAAATAGACTAAAATATTAAAAAAAATTCAAATAAAGATTAGAGTCTCATTCTAAATCATTTATTAAAGGTTTATATAATAATTTTTGTAAGAAAATTTGTTTTATAAACCTATAAGGGCCTCATTCATAACAATTTATTACAGGTTTATAAGACAATTTTTCATATAAAATTTGTTCTATAAACCTTTGATAAATTGTTCTGAATAAGGCAGTATTTCTATTACAAAGTTAATAAAATTATTTTAAATATCAAATCCTACAAAATTTCAAATATCAGTTAAAAAAAACACATATTTCGAAAAACATTTAAACGAACAATACGACGATAAAGGTTGTTAATATTCGAAATTTCGAACATGTGATTTGGTTAAATCGCAACAATGTTATATACACACACACACAAAACATACACATATAGTTAAAATAAAGAAAAATTAAAAGTTCTTAAAACTGATTTAAAATACTGATTTTAATTATCTTTTAACATACACATACAGACACATGATTATTAATTAATAAACATTCATATTTCTTCGATTAGATTAATTATTCTTTTTGGTTTTTTTTGAGATTTGTGCAAAAATGTAAAGAAAGTTAATTAATTTTTTTTTATTCAAGTTTAATGACAAAGTTTGTTTTTTTTTTTTTTTGTTTTAATATTTTTTTATAAAGTAATTTACAAAAACATGAATTATAGATAAAAAAAATTAATAGATTTTAATAAATATTTTTTAATAAAATATTATTTAATATAAATTGTTTTTTAGTTAACTTGGCCTTTGGTTAGTTTTTATATCATTTAGCAAAAAAGTAAAATTATAAACAAATTATTATATATAAAAATAGTTGTTGTTGTTTTTAAGATTAAATGTAATTATTATTAATTAATAAAATTAAGAAACAAAATTATTATTAAATAAATACTGTTTGGCTATGAAAAACATACAAAAAATTAAAATTAAGAAAGTAAAAGTTGTTTGAAAAAATAATAAAGAACAGTTAAAATTATTATTATTAATAACATTAGATTATTTAAATGTTTAAGAGAGTATTAATAAAATTATTTAAATTATGTATAAAAAAAAACATTTGCATTTGTGCGATGTAAGGAAGAAAATTGAAGAAAATGTGTGAAATTAAGGATAAAAAAAATTTCAATATTAACGAGTTGAAAACAAGCTGGTTTAAGGCGACATTTAAAGAACTTTATAAGTTTGATAAGACAATTGCTAATATTGTGTAGGAGAGTAAAAGGAAAATCCAAAAATTTCGTTATTAAATTTGTTATTTGTTATTGAGTGTGACCTTTTATGAAATTATTATTAAAAATTTTGGAATATTTTACAAATTTTTCGTTAAAGTATTTGATTTTTTTAAAATTTTGTAAAACCTATTTTTATTTTAAATTTAGTTCATTACTGTCACAGTTTTTTATGACAAAATATTGTTGTTTTTTTATAAAAGTTTTCATTTAGGAAGATATTTTTACTTTAGTTTAGCTTGAATTCATTTTAAATTTCCTGTCATGTCAGAATTTTGTCATAATTAAAACAAAATTTGTCTAACTTTGTCACTTAAATGGCAGTCATAACACTCAGTTATGATTTAGTGTCAACATTTTTTCATTGTTGATCACTTTCCGAATTGTATAAGACTTTCTTGTCATGTCACAAATCTGACGCTGTCAGTGTGACAGAAAAAAGTAACCTGTTGGTCATTGTTGAAAAGAAGTTATTGAAGGTATTCAACATATTGGCCAAAATTTATATGACACTTTTGTCATTTGAGACAAATTCTAATCTTTAGACATAACGGCATAAATCTTGGTCATTCTCAGAATGACAGAAAGTTATTACAACTTCATACTTATTGGTGCTAAATACATAATGGAAATTGTCATCACATTGTCCAAGATTTAGATGACACTTTTTGACATTATGACATTCGATATCGAACCACTTTCTTGTCATGTCACAAATCTTATGCTGTCAATGTGACAGAACAAAGTTGAGGCATGCAACCTTTTAACTTATTACTGCTCAATATGTGTATAATGGCAATTGTATTTAGATACCCAAGATTTAGATGACACTTTTGTCATTAAGACAATAGTCAAATTCTAATATTTAGACATTATAATAATGACATAAATCTTGGTCATTCTCAGAATGACAGAAAGTTATTACAAGTTTTAACTAATTGCTGCTAAATACGTAATAGAAATTGTCATCACATTGTCCAAGATTTAGATGACACTTTTTGACATTATGACATTCGATATCGAGCAAGAAATATCAAATAGTTTAAATCAAATGTGGAAATTTGTTTTCGTTATAAAAGTACATTCGATAAAGAATACCTTAATACGGTTCATGATATCTCCAGTTATAATAAATAAAGATCTATATCAACAATCTTAAAGTTGCCACTAACTAAGTAACAACTTTGTCATTATCAAGTAAGATTTGATTATTATGTAAGATTTGCTTTCTCAACTTTAACACAATACAAGGAAATTGTCATTTTATCTAACACTATAACAAAATTGTTAATAATTTTATTAAATATTGAAATTTTTTGTTTAAAATGAAAAAGTTAAAACGAAAGTTTTATTAGAATTTGGTGAAAGTTTTAAAATGGATATTTGTGAGGGGGATGGATGTAATTTATGTGCCTTAATGAAAATGTTTAAGGTGTTTTAGATGAGGTTTTTTTTTTGTTGAGAAGAATTATAAACATTTTTTTTAAGCAATGCAAATGCAAGTTTTGTTTTTTTTAGAGTTTTACATATACAACTTACAAACTAAAAGGTTTTTTTTAATGACTTAAATTATAAATAAAGAAAAACCACAACCAAATATTAATAAATAAGTTTAAGTTTAATATTAAGTTTTTTAGCCTAATTTGTTATTATAATTGTTGTAGTTGTTGATTAATTTGTCAATTCAATTAGTTATGAAAAAAATGAGGTTTTAATTTTTCTTCTTAAAGGGTTAATTTAAATAAAATTGTTTTCAATTTTGGCTCAAAAGGTAGATAACTAGCAAAATTTGTTTTTTTTAACAAATAAAGGGGACGGTAACGAAGTGTTTTATAACTTGGGCCAGCGTAGATTCCAACGTTGTTGTTGTTTTTTTTTTTTTTTTTTTTTAATCAAAGGGAAATTTTTTTAAAAATTATTAGTAATATTAATTTTTTTTTCTTTTTTAAGGGATTAGTTTTTTTTTCTTTAAATTCAAAACAAAAAGTTTGGGTGTTTTTTGTTTGCTTTTTCGTCTGTTGTTTAAATTATTGACCTTTATTTTTCTTGTTTTCTTTTGTTTAAAAGCTAAGTGTACATTTTATAAAAAAAAAGTTAATTTTTTTTTTGAGGCAAAACAAAATTTTGTTGCTTTTTTTTTAAAGGCTTTATAAATATTTTATATAAAGATTTCCACTAAACGAGAGACATTTACAAAATTTAATTATATTATAAAGTGTATATAAAAAATACTTTTTTAAAAACTAACCTAAAACTAATTTTATATTTAAATGTAATAAATTTGATTTTCTTAAATAGAGTTCTTTTATAAATTCTGTTTCCTTTTTGTTTTTGTTTTTTTTTTTTTTCTTGCTTATCTTTCTTTTAAAGTTCTGCAAAGGCACAAGTCAACTTAGAAACAATTATTTGTTTTGTTTATTTATTAAAAAATGATTCTAAGGTATTGAGTTTTTTTTTTTTGCTTTTTCACAAATTTTTAACTGGTTTTTGTTTGTTTGTTTTGATTTTTCTCAAAGAAGAAATATAAGTGTTGTTGAAATTTATTTCTTTTTTTTTTTTTCTTAATTGCCGTAAAAAAATATATATAAATAAAATAAAAATTCATATAACAAAAGGGACAATATTTTTATTTTAAATAAATTAAGAAATTTTTTAGAAAAGATAAAACATTTTGAGTGAGATTGTTAATTAAAAGTATCAAAATGTAACCTAAACTACGATTCGAACTCAAGCCTGAAAAATAATTAATCAGTAACTAATTGAAAAAGGAAAAGTTAAGAACTTTTTATTCTTACAGATTTTGGTATTTAAGAAAGAATAAAAAATCTAGTAAATTTTAACTTAATGAAACGTTTAAAGGTCTCTGGCTAAAACTGCAAGAACCAATTTATTATTAAATTGTTTCAAAATTTAAAATAATTTAGTTATTTTAACACTAAACTATTAACAATTTAAACAAAATATTGACCTTTTCTAATTATAGTTTCTAGCATATTGTCTCTTTTGTTAAATGTTAAATTAAAACAGAAAAATAAAATAAATATTTAAAAAAAATTAATATATAAATATATGAATAATAATTTAAACACAACTAACCTGTTTTAAGCTGTAAAAATTGAGTTTTGTAATTTTGTAAGAATTATGGTTAAATAGTTTTGCTTTTAATGCATACAAATCAAGTCATTTTACACACATCAGAGATATTTAACTATTTGGTTACAACAATCAATATGCCAGGGAGGGGCCCCTTCTAAAAACAGGCTTTTTTCTTACTTTTTTTTTTTTTTTTTGTTTTAAAATAAAATTAAACTTTTTCACCAACATAAAAAGAAGATTTGTTCGTTTGTTATGAAGTGTGAATAAAAAAGAAAATGGAAATTATAAAATATAACACAATATTGTTATTAATTTTTTTTTAAACTTAAAAGAAAAACGACAAAATTTTTAAACTTTAGCTCAATTATGTAAACAAAATTAATTAATGTTTAGTTAAAATTAATTTAGGTAAAAAAAAATGAAATTCACTTTTATGTATTTTTTTGTTTTTTTCGCAGAGAAAACACTTTTTTTTTATTGGATCTCTATAAAGCCTGGCTTAGTTGGGACCCCCACAGCAGCTCTCTGATATGGATGTTCACGATTAGCCGCCAAACGTCGTTGTTTAATGGCTCCTACTAAAATACATGGGTATATAATTAATAAATTTCAAATTTGTTTTTTGCGTTTGTTTGTTTTTCATATAAATATATAAAAAGTAATAAAATGTTCATAAAAATAAAAATAATAATATTTCACAACTACTAAGCTCTACTACTTAAATAATACAAAAATAATATAATAATATATAAAAAAAATTAAAAAAAAAATTCTAGTAATTTGCCTTAATTAACCAATTTGTTTATAGTTTAAAAAACAATTTTTCAAATTTTTTTTAAAGTTTCATAAATTTCTTTGGAATGAAACGTATTAACTGGGTTTGTTTTTTTCTAGGTTGGTTGTTGTTAGGTTTAAAGCAAAAGTGTTTTTTTATTTATTTATAAAGTTTTATAATAATTTTTTTATAAAACAAGTTAAAATTTTCTAAAACTTAAGTTTGTTTACAAACTTTTTAAATTTTTTTTAAGTGTAGTGTTTTTAATACTTTTTTTAGATTTTTCTAAACCTTTAACTTGTTTTATTTTTAAATATAAAAAAAATAATTTATAAAAAAAACTTAATCAAAAATTTTTTAAATATTTTAAAAAAGTATGATTCTAGTATTGTTTAAGTTTCAATTGCTGACTAGTTTATTTCAACTGATGTTTTTCTTTAACATTTTATTGCTTAATTTGTGGACGGAAACTGTATGAGCTTTTGTTATTGTTATTGTTTTCTTGGAAATTTTTTAATCGTTTAATTAATAAAATTAAACAGAAAGTAAACTATTTAATAAAATTTTAACACAGTTCTCTAGTTTAAATAAAAACTACTATTTAGTTGTTCTAATTAACTAGTATTTCCCAAATTTCAGAAAGTTTTTTAAAACAAGAACTATACAAGTTTTAAAATTCTATAAGCTTTTAGATTTAAAGTTTAGTTTTTCAATCAATCGATCAAATATTTGATTTCTTATCACAATTTTGGAAAAAAGAGTTTGATTCATTAATATCTGGAGATTCCTTGCTTAAGATCGATATATAAACGAGATAGTTGTAAATATAGAGATGTGAAAAACACATTTAAACCCCGATGTATGATGAACTTTTGGTTTCAGCTTAGAAAGAGCTTTGTGTCTATATCAAGATAAAAGATGGAACCGAAAGTTTCCCACGCAAAGATTTTGCTTCAGGTTATTTGGTAGACCCCGTTCTTTTCAAGATCAGGATTAAGTTCGCACGAAAGTTACAACGATTTAAAATGACTTTTGATCTTAAATTATAAGCAAGTTTTTCAATATTGAGTAAGACAAAGTAATCTAAACCCGATCTTTGGCGGGATATAGTAATATTATTCGATTTCTGATTGAATTTCGAATCACACTCAAATTCGGTGGAATAAAGAGAATCGAATACGAGGAATGATCCAATGGATACTGCACATTGGTACGCTATCCTTGCATACACCAGCTGTGTGATGTTAAAATTGCGTTAACTCCTTCGATGACATCTTATTCATCATTCAACCCCCAATTACATAGTGCCGGTCCACATACAAAAACTTTAGTTGAGAAACTTTTTCTTAATTCTCTTTTAAAGTTTCCTTAATGTCTACACATAGAAACTTTTGTTTCAGAAACTACGTGATAATTGCATTGATTTGTTTTTGAACGAATGAGAAGAATAACAAAACAAAACGAGTTTCCGAGTACGAAAAACTCCGTACCGCGAGAGAGATGAATGATATTTCTTTCTCTCTCTCTCTCTCTCACGCAAAGTTTCCCAAAAATAGTTTCCTAGTGTGGACCGGCAGATACTGAACAACATGATTGGTCATAGAAAATTTCAGCTGCGAATTACACAAGTTGTATGTAATTCGCAGTTGGATTACTTAACGAATTACGAATGAATGAGTGTCATCTCTAATTTTTATAGGGTATTTATCATAATCATTACAAAATAATGATTGGAAAAAAAAATAATATGGCGATGAACCTGTCAAAACAAATTACGAATGTGTCGTAGAAACGTGTTAATTGACTATCGTCATTGAGAGGCCGAATTAAGTAATTCAACTGCTCGTGTGAACTTGGTATTAAGAGGCCTTTACACTATCACACTTTACGTACGTAAAGTCGTTCCCACAACAATTGGATCTTCGCTCCGGAACGACCCGAGTCATACACGTCCAAAGATTGTCAACCCAGCGACAGCTGTATCAACCGAACGTTGAACAACAACGTACGTAAAGTCTAATGAAAAAGTAACATGAAATTCCATCCGTATGACAAAAAGTGAATAAAAGTCATATGATTTATATTCTTTGTATTTACACGATTGTTATAAAACAATAACAAAGTAAGATGGTGGAAACAGCTGTTTCACTTTTTTTGTATGTGTTTGATTTAATCGCATTGATTGTTTTAGAACTGTCAAATTTTGCATCCGTATTTTCTTTCAATGTATGATGGTTATGATGGTAAACCTAACCTATCCATACTCTTCTACACAAAATTTTGACAGATCATATTACTTGTGAGCACGTGTAAAGGGGGTTTTAGGAGGAACTGTTTAAACATGACGTCGTGTTCCTTGACTGCAAGAAAATTTTTGTATTTTGCGCTAAAGATATCAAACATTTGATCATTTTTCACTTTAAAAACTTTAAAAAATTATTTTTCAAAAATTAAGAAACTAAAATCAATACTTCTTAAAACAAAAGAAAAACAATAAAGAAAATTAAACTTAAATAATAATTTAGCACCTTTTTAGATTCAACATTTAAACATAAATAATGGTGTAATGTGTGTAACAAAATTTCTAAATAATAAACTAAACTTAAAAAATTAATAATAAAAATAATTAAAAACAAAAAAAAAAAAAAAAGAAAATTCTTATATTGCTTTAACCCTGCTTGTTGCTTGACTATTGTTTTTAAATTAAAAAAAAAAAAAAAGAATTTGTAAACAAAAAAATGGCACATAATGGAAAATTCAAACGACTTCTTAAAAATGAAACAACTAAATTAAAAAATTTGTTAAAAATTGAAAAAAAAAAATTGTATAAAAACTTTTTTGAGTATAGAAAACAAAAACAAACTCTCACAGAGCTGTTTAAATGGACATAGACCAACATTGTCGAATAGACTGTAACTATTTAATAGAGAACTAAAGCAAGAAAGATTTAGTTCCCAAGTGTGGAGAATGTTTAAGCTTCTGCTGATTCCACTTTCCTAATTCTATAACAGTTGCCATGTTGTTTTTGTTTTGAATAAAAATATATATCGGTAGGTATTTCGTGTGATGCTAAATTACACTGAGAGAAAAACTTTAAAAAACTTATTTAAAAACTAGCATTTACTCTTGGTGTTTTTTTTTTAAAAAATGGCTATTTTCTTAAATTAAACTTAAAAATTACCCTAGAACCCTTAAATTACTTTAAAAACTCTAACTTATATTGCATTTAAAATAATATAAAATAAACAAATTAATAATAAATCTATGAAAGCTTTGCAAATACTTTTGTTGTTGTTCATTTTTTTGATTTAAAGAAAATTTCTACAAAATTCTACAAAAAACTATAAACAGAATTTTGTTAATTTTTTTTACATTTATATATACACAAGTTAAAAAATAAAAAAATAATTATTATAGAAATTCAAAAAGTTCTCAACTAGATTATACTCATTTTGCTTGATAAGAGATTTTTATTTTTAAATAAATATTAAAAATTATATATAAATATAAATTAAAAACAAAAAAAAAAAAAGATCATTAGAAATGTTTTAAAACTAAATAAATAAAAGAAAACACTTTTGCTTTTAAAAATCCTGTTCATATGTTGTTGTTGTTTTTTAAATAAAATTTGAAAAATTTTATTAATGTTGGTGTTGTTTTTTGTCCTAACCTTAAAATTATTATTTATTATAAAATACATTTAATGTTGCTACTTGTTTTTCGAGCAATAACTCTTTTTTTAAAGTTTAAATTAAATATTTCCTTTAGCTTGGCTGGATTTTCTTTCTGTTTCAATTTGTGTTTTTTTATATAAAATAAAACTATTATTACTGTTTTCTTTTAAATATAAACTACTTTTTGTGTTTTTTTGTTTGTTTTTAAAAAAATATATTGTTTAATAAACAAAACAAAAATTTTTATAAATTGTTTTTTAAAACACGGAGCCAGCATGCAAATATCGACCAACTGTAAAAATTGTTTTGAATAAAATAAATAAAATCAACAAATCAAATTTATAAAAATTATGGGGAGGATATAGAAAAAAATGTTAAACTAAAATTGAGTTTTTAGTTTTTTTTTTATCTAAAAAAGGGGTTAAAGGTTAAAGAAATGTATTTCATATTTGAAATGTATTTCAAGGGTTAATTGATTTTATTGTTGATTGGTTTTGTGTATGAATTTTAAAGCTGTTTTTTTGCATTTACTAGTTATTATAATAAAAAGCTTTTGGGTTAAAATTAAAAAAAGCGAAATTTTAATAAATGAGTGAGGTGCAAAATGACTATTTTCTTATAAATTTGCCATGGCACTAAACACAAGTATCGATTTTTAATAATTAAAAAATAATAAATAAATTATAAAAACTAAATAAAAATAAAATAAATTCGTCTCACACGAATATAAAAATAACCTCCACCGTTAATAGCTATAGAAAACAAAGATTTTTAAAAAAGTTTCGAGGTAAAGAAAATCCTGCTTCGTAGTAAATTTGCAATAGTAGCAAATATGCTTTAACTCTTTCTATATCATGTTGCAAAGATTTTTTTTGTTGCTCCAAATTCTCTAGACCTGTTTGCAATGATTTTTGGTTTTGCAAGTTTGATTAAGTGTAGTAAATCTTTGCAAATGTTGCAAACCTTTTTTTCTATTTAAAGTTAATTCTGTCATATTTTTAAGGATTCTCAATCGCTTTACAGTACGGCATTTATAAGTGAACATTATTCGTTGTGGTAAATTTACAAGGGTAGCAAATGTAATTATATTTGTACGCTCTGAAGAGTATACAATAATTTCTGTATTATATTGCGTATATATTTTCTTTTTGACATATAATCTGTCAATAGTCTTGCTACTGCTTAATTGCAATGATTGCTATTTTTGGTTTAACTGAGGCAGAATTTGTTTATCTCTTGCAAGTTTGTTCAAGTATAGCAAATCACATTTGTCTCATGTTCCCTAATGACTTTTACAATACCGCTTTTATGAGTAAACATTATTTTTTGTGGTAAATTTACAAGGGTAGCGCAAATATGCTTAGACTTATTTCCTATAAAGAGTAAAAATATCGTTTCAGTTTTATTGCAAACTTATTCTCATTATCTTTGTTGCTGCATAATTGCAATACCTACTTGGTAATTTTGGTTTTACTAGGGCAGTATTGTCTCTATGTTCTCTGGACCAGTTTGCAATGATTTTTAGTCTAGCAAATTTGAAAAAGTGTAGCAAACTCTAGTATTGTATGTGTGCTTCCTGTAGGTTACTGGTTAGTGATGTAGCCTGTGGTTTACGACCTGAGCCACTGGTAGGGGAGAGCACAAAAAGCCCGATGGAGTCCTAGGTTTATGTCTTCGGATTTTTGTTGGATTTAATTGTAAGAACTTTGTTAAATTTACCAAATTAGCATCAATTGCTAGGGCTGTATGCTATGAAAAGTGCATATACACGAAATGTTTGATTTTTAGCCTTGCAAATATGATAAAGTGTAGGAAAACACAAGATTTGTGTTAATTTTTCCATGTTTGCAAGGATTGCTACGGCCGTTTTTTGCAATAGAATTTAGTATTGCAAATCTAATCAGGTGTTGCAAACCATAATTTGCTATAATTTTCTTCAAATTAAGGATTTTTAGTTAGACTTGCAAGGTTTACAAGAGTAGTTTACTAGGGTAATTGTATGCCGCTATAAAAAACATTTAGAAACAAAAAACCACCAACGTAAATGGTCTTAGAGTCATGTCTACACTGATTTGAAAGTTCCTTGAAGCAGGAGTTAAACAGACGGACTTTTAAACTAAAAAGTTTTTATAGAAAACTTTAAAAAGGTTAAACAAGGTGGAGATTATTTTCAAAATAACAAAAATAACTAAAGAAAACATAAAATTAAATAACAAAAAATTAAAAAAAAAAAAACAAAAATAAAATAAATATTTAAAAAAATGCAATGAAAACTTTAAATACTATTTAAGCCATTTAAATATTTAACTTTAAGCTTTACTATTAAAACAAATTCTTAAAGAATTTGAGTTTCTAAATTTAAAAATTGCAAAAATTTACTAAACTACAATTTAAAATAAAACCTAAACCAAAAAAAAACACTAAATTTATAAAATTTGTAAACAAACACAGTGAAAATGTAAACAAAACAAAAGCTTAAAAAGAAAAAAGGATTTAAATATTTTTCAATAATATCCTAAAGCAAATTTTCAAAAATTTCACTAAGTTTGTTAACAAATAATTTCCTTTTTTTTTTTGAAAATTTTCCAAAATAATAAACATGATTTCTTTAAACATTAGTGTGATTGCTAGATGTGTGATGTTTGATATTAGCTTTTTTGTTTAAAAATTATTGCTCGCATATTAAATAAATTTCTGTTGAAATTTTAATGATTATTTTGTTTTTGTTTAAATGTATGTTTGTAAAACGTTCATTAAATTATGAATTAATTAAATAAATTATTCTTGGTTATTTCGTAAAGACCATAAATAAATGTTTTGATTTAAGGCATTTGTTGGTTTTGTTGTAAAATGTATTATAACTAAAATTAAATTATTGATATAAAAATAAGACAACAAAATACATATATGTATGTATGTAGTAATTAAAAAAAAAAGAAAATGTGAGAATAATAATAAAAAAAAGTATAAAAAATAGTAAATTTATCTAGCAAACAACCCACCGCTATGATCTGCGTATTCCGTCAGCAAAGGATTTCCAGTGAGGGCGGTATTGTAGAGATTATAATCGGCGTATGGAGCAAAAATCATGCCATGAGCAGGATTTTCAAATGCATTAGCAGGTGTTGCAGTACCCGATAATATGCTCGCCGCTGTTGTGGGCACCGTCATGCGCTGTGACAGTATTAAAGGAGCGCCCAGTGGGGCAGCAGTAGGGGCGCGCATTTGTTGAGCCAAACCAGGCAGACTGGCCTGAGTCAAGAGACGATTATCAGCCGAGGCAGCGGCTACAACACGACGCCAATCTTCATCACAAACTAAGAGAGAAATAAAAGTGTAAAAGGACAAAGTTTAGGTATGGACAATTTTTTTAAATTAATGGAAAAAAATATATATACTATTTATTAAATAAAAATGTTAAACAACCGATTAATTATTATTGTTGTGGCTGGTTTGGTTTTATTAACAAGTTTTTGTTAAGAAAATTAACTTTAGTGAAATTGTAAGTTTTGGCCAAACTTTACAATTTCTTTAAGAAATTAATTTTATTAATTGAATTATTTAGCATTTTGTTTGTTTGTTTGTGTTTGAGTTTTGTTTCGTTTTACACAACATACCTTGAGCTGCATTTTTGACGGCGGTTGTATCCCTATAAGTGCCATTAATTATTGCTAATTCCATCAGTTGACGTTTCTTAAGCTCATCTTCGCCTTCCGCTTGCTGTTAGTATCAGTTTTTGAGTTTTGGTTTTTTTTTTTGAGATTTTAAAAAAAGTTTGTTTGTTTTTTTGTTTTGTTTGTTTTCAGGTTAAAAACATTAATTTTGTTTTTTTGGTCAGAAAAATAAAATGAAAATAAAATTTGTCAATTAATAAAGAGGGTTATTTGAATTAAAAAAAGTTTGTTTTAATAAGAATTAGATAAAAAAATAAGGAACATGATCAGCAGAGCTGGGGTTTTATTAAATGTGTTTTTAGAGTGTCATCTAAAGAGAGAAATGTTGGTTATACTTCGTTCAATAGACATAAAAATGTCGATATAATTTAAACAAAAGATCGGTGACACACGGTTTGATCTTCAGTTGAATAAAATTAAAGCATTTGTCTCTCTTGTGAGAGATATTTTGTTTATTCTTCATTCAATACAGAGCAAATTGTCAATAATATGTAATCAAAAGATCATTAACAGAATGATCATCAGTTGTAGAAGATTTTAGATAAAATTCTTATTAACAATGTAATATAAGTTTAACTCTCTCTAATGAGAGAAATTTAGTTTATTCTTCATTCAATATAAATCAAATTGACAAATTAATGTAATCAAGAGATCAGTTGGACGATGATCTTAAAATGGATGATAACATCATACAAGAATACATCTCTCTCAAGGGAGAGAAATTTAGTTTATTCTTCATTGTGATCAAAAGATCAGTGATACCATGTTCCTCGATTAGTCACAATTTCAGATTAAATTCTTATTAGACAAGCTTCATCTCTCTCTAGGAGAGAAATTTATATTATTTCTCATTGAATATAGAACAAATTGTCAATAAATTGTAACCAGAAGATCAGTTGATCTTCAATTGGAAAAGATTTTAGCAGAATATTCTTCTTAACCCCAAAACGATAACCACTTTTTCTCTCTCTAGCTGTAAACTCCATAGAGAATTCTGAAAAACTAAAGCCTAGTTTTTCAAAATCCCCCAAAAACACCGCCATTTTTTAATATAGACTTTTTGCTTGCATTTTTTGTTCTTACACTCCTTGCAACAGTTATTAGCATTAAAATTAATTTGTTTAAAAAGAAATTGTTTAAAAAAAACAATGGTAGAAAAAAATAGAACAAAAATCACAAAAAAAGAATTTGTTATATTACTTTTGGTTAAAGTTTAATGAGTTTCAGTTTAATGTTAAAATTTTAAAAATAAGAAAAAAAAACTGTTTAAAAACTTACCGGTATGAGTAGTTTTTGTACTTCAGCGACGGCTTGACTTAATTTGATTTTGGCACGATTTTCTGTATCTTCGACGGTAATCAAGACATGTAGTTCATCTGATAAATGTTCCCAATTGGGTTTGCCTCTATTAGCATCTTCCTGTTAAGCAAATGGAGAAAAAAAGAAAGAAAAATTAATTAATAAATTTGTTGCAGTATAAAGGCTTTTTTAACAAAGTATTGCAAATTCTTTGTTCCAGCTGGTAATTGCTGTTTTTTTAACCCTTCCTTTGTAGAGGAAAGGGGGTATTCTTTAAGTATTAAACTCTTGACAATTGCCGTTATAAAAGAAACCAAAGAAAATTTTTCTTTTTTTTTCCTTTTTGAAGTCAATTAAAAGGTATGTTTTTGAAAGGATTTAAATTTTTCTCAAAAAAAAGAAAAGAAAAATCTGTTAACAAATTTGTTGCCATTACTTTGAGTAAAATTAATTATGCTTAATGAATTGTTATGTTATTTGTCATACAAGTAGTTTATTTTGAAATATTGTTAAAAATGTTTTTCTTCTTCCACATTTTCGTTTATAATACCAAATGGAATTTTCACTACTAGATGTTTAAATAATAAAAGGAAATAAATTAAATTTCCGAAAGCCACCTCCCAACCATTTAATGGTGACAATACAAAATAAAAAACAACTTTTTATACAGAAAATTAAGTTTTATGAGCAAAAATACAGCAGCACTAGCAGTAGGGGAGGGAATTTTGTACAAAGGAAAATAATAATTAATTTTTGTATACATCTGTGCAGTTCAGCATAAAGTGTGTATATTTAGGTACGAATGAATATGTGAGACAGTAAAAAGTATTTTTTGGCAAGACTTTAAAAAAAGAATGAAAATTACATTTTTATAATAAAAAAGATTTTTCCTGTCGCAAAATAATTTTTAACACTATTTTTTACACAACAACACTTTTAGAGAAAAATTAACATAAGAAAATATAAATCAAAAACAATAGCAATAACAATAACAATTGTTGCAGTAAAAATATCCCTGCAAGCATTTGGGAGACAAAATCAGATTTTTGCAGACGAATCGTTATAAGCACTTCTGCAAGATAGTTAGATGAGAGTACATATGTTACAAAAATAAATATATCTCCTTAAATATGTAGAAGATAAAACTTTTGCAGGTTTTTGAAGACGAAACGTTATAAGCACTTCTGGAAAACAAATTAAGTTATTATTTCGATCTTCCCGCTCTAGACGTTGAAGTCACTACAGGATGATAGTTGAAAGCTTTTACACATTTTACAAACATAAAGTTTAAATGTTTTTTATACACGTTTAATCATCTTCTAGAGGATAGTTAGAAGTCACTGCATATTTTTCAAAACAAAATGACTTGTTTTCGAATTTCCATTCTTTTATTGGGTACGTGTAATTCACTTTTGGTTGATAGTTGTGAGATTGTACACATTTTAAAAACAAAATCCAGTGAATTGTTATCATCTGGAAGTATACCTGTAATTCACTTCTGGATGATAAATAGAAGACAGTACATATTTTACAAAACAATATTAATTGCTTTAGAATATCCATTTACTTCTTGTGTACGTTTAAATCACTTCTGGATGATAGTTGAGAGATTGCACACATTTTAAAAATTAAATCCAAAGAATTGTTATCTTCTTGAAGTAGCGTTTAATTCACTTCTGGATGATAAATGGAAAACACTACATATATTACAAAAACAAAATTCATTGCTTTAGAATTTTTTCCCTTGTGTACGTTTAAGTCACTTCTAGTTGACAGTCAGGAGATTGTATACATTTTACAAAAACAAAATCCAATAAATTGTTATCATCTAGAAGTATAAGTTTAATTCACTTCTGGATGATAAATAGAAGACACTACATATTTTACAAAACAAAATTCATCGCTTTAGAATTTCTATTTTTTTTTTTTTCTTGTATACGTTTAAATTACTTCTGGTTGATAGTTGGGAGATTACAAAAACAATATCCAAAATAAGTATGATAGTTAGAAGGGTGTTTTATAATTAGGTACAGTTCTTCCCGGCAGAACATCGGAATATCAATAATTTGGCGATACAAATCACAAGCAATTTGATATCGCCTTATTGCAGGGAATATACTTTTAAGTGACTTTCGCTTTAGAAAGTGTTTGCAGGGGAAAAAGGAAAACATAAGAAATATCATGTAGTTGACAGGCTCACAAACCATCAAACACTCATACAAAAATTGAGCACACGAGTAGGTGTGTAAATAAATTTGAAGAAAACACAAAACACCTTAAAAATAATTTTTGACAAGATTTTCTCTTGCATCATTCAAGCAACAATAACAACAAATAAACAAACAACTTGCTGACAGTTTTCTTGTTTGTAGTTGTTGTGGTTATTGTTATTATTAGTGTATTTTTATAATTGTAATATTTCTTTCATAAACATAAATATCATTAAAATTTGTGTACAACATTTTTATAGACTTGTCATTCACCATAAAATTTAAATTAAAGAAATGTATTATTTTTAAATTTTAGGTGTTTTTATTTTGAAAAATATTCAAAAATAATAGATATTTTTATTAAAAAAAAGGTTTAAGTAAAATTTTAACAAATAGAAATAGAGGAGAAACCTATACAAATGTTTAAACGTTTGTACATCCGTTTTTGTCGTTTCCTCTTTTGGTGCGGCACGTTTTACAATACAAACAAGATATGGAAAAGATTAAAAACTACAAAAGGAAAACACACATGCATAAATACATACATACATATGTATGTAAGAAGAAAATAAACATAAATGTACTTATTCGTAAGTAAACATAACCATCTTTTTGTAGGCCTGGTTGTATATGTATATATCAGTGATTAGCAGACATGGTCTCCAGAGAACGAGAGAAAACTGCTGATTACAATGTGCAACAATAATTACAATATGTAACACTTTATGAAGCAACAAGGGTTTGTCAAGTTACTAATAATCTGTAGATACATTCTCATTTTGCCGACTACTGATATGCATACTGTGTTTTGGAAATTATATTCCAATATTTATCCCCTTAAATTTTCTCCCACACTGTATTTTTCGAGTAATAGGAGTTGTAATAATAACTTATTTAACGTGTTAATATGAATATTATAGTGATTACCAATACATTTGTATTTGATCGTGCATTTTTAACACTCTCTCAAAACAAAATGCGTGAGTAAGTTAAAGAGAAAACAAAAAAACAATTTTTTAGAGTTTAAACATTTGTTTCATGAGTTTAAAATGCAATTTGTATTTATTGGCAAAAAAAGCAACAATAAAGATAATATTGCAGTTGTTGTAGGTATAGTTAACATTTGCTATAATATTGTTGTTGTTGCACTTTTAACTGTTATGTTTTATTTGGCCGCAGGACAGAGCTATAAAATAAGTAAATCTTACTGAAATTTAAAGGGTTTAAAACCAGGAAGTTATAAATAGATCAAGTAGTTGGACGATTTAAATTTTTTGTAGTTGATGTGGATAAAATCAATTCTAAAATTAAAACAAGTAAGAAATTATAGTCGGGCGAGGCCGACCATATAATACCCTACAAAAAGAAAATGTGATTTAGTTTTCATAGTAAAGCATAAAGTTGAATTGTTCCTTTGCCTTAGATATACTTAAGCCATTTATTGTTGAATAAAAAAATTGTGGACATTTTAGTCAAATTTTGAAGGGGGCTATGGTCAAATGAGACCCTATAATTATAAAATTCATGAGTTCATGGGTCATCAAGGCTAGTAGAGAACTTGGTTTTGCAGCTTTTTGCCGAGATACGAGTATATTAAACATAATTATGAACTTGAAAGCCCTATTCGTCGGGTTCAGTTGTATGGGGGCTAGGTGAAATAATGGACCGATCTTAACCATTTTCAATAGGATTCGTCCCTGGGTCTATAGAAAATTAAAATTATAGTTTGATTACAAGGTTTAAATGGACGGACATAGCTAAATCGACTTTTAAGCCGATTGGTATACTTTAAGGTGGCTATGGGACCAATATTATTATGCGTTACAAACATTAGCACAAACCCAATATACCCTCCAAACTTAAGTGGGGTAGGGTATAACAAAGATGGATTTGTCATTTTGTTTATAACACGAGCTAAGTCCGTCCATCTGTCTGTTTAGAGCAGGATAGGTTTTAAGGCGAAGAAGCAAAGAGGGTTGAAAAATATTCCCTCTTGATGATATTTGTTGCGTATTGAAAATCAGCAAAATTTGGGATAGAATGTCCGTCAGCTGTCTAAAGTCATTAGTTCTTATATTTATGCAAAATTTCATCGTATTATTGGTATTTATAAGTGAATTTTGACCTTAAAGTCAATTTCTGAAGGGGAATTTGTATGGGGGCTAGGGTCAAATGAGGTCCGATGATTACAAAAATAGATGGTATCATTTATACTTTTATAAAACTAAGTTTTACCGATTTTTGTTGAGAGATTAGAACATTTCACATAATTATGGACTCAAAAGCTCTATCCAGAGGTAAGGTTGTATGGGGGCTAATCGAAACAATGGAGCGATTTTAACAATTTTTAATAGTCTTCGTCCTTGGCTAAAAAGAAGAGTTTGTGCCAAGTTTCATTAAGTTAACTTGAAAATTGCGATCAGCGTGCGTGCGCACAAGGTGTACTTGGACACATAGACAGACAGACGGACATAGCTAAATCGACTCAGAAAGTGATTCTGAGCCGATTGGTATACTTTGGTGTTACAAACATAAGCATAAACGCATAATACCCTCCGGTGTAGGGTATACATATCTAAACATAACTAAAGCGTATGAAGTTCTCACTACCTTCATAAATATGTAGCCCCTTTTGAGATCTCAATGAATGCATTCTTTTGCTAAACAGGTTAAGCTATAAACAACAATGTTATTACTCTTTTTCACTTGTTAAACTTGCAACACAAAACAATATAATTATAAAAACGAAATTCAAGTAAAAGTTATTGGCACTATAACAAAAATATGTCACTTTTTTGTCAGTTGAAAGAAGAAAAAAAACTAAAATAAAAGGAAAAGTTGATAAGTTAAAAAAATTTTAAATTTAGTAAAAAAATTAACTAAAATCCTATAAATATTTTAATATTAAAATTTTGCAATTTTTTTCATTAATTATTGAACATTTTTATATAAAAATATCTAAACTAAGAAAATTACGACAAAAATTTTCGTTAATTACCTCATTTTTGTGTAAAACGTGCTAAAAAAATCTCTAATTTTTTTCAAAAACAAATTTCTTATAAAATTTATGATATATTCTTGTAATTTTTAAAATAATAAAATAATTTAATGGTGTATATTAATCTTGCGACTTCTGTGTAATTGCAAAGTGTAATAAAGAATTAAAAGTTGTGAAAAAAGCACACATTTGTTTTAATATTCTGAACATAAACTAAATATTTTATTAGCAACTAAAAATTGCATTAAATTATTTTAGTTTTTTTCCTGCTAGTTGCCATTTTAAGACAGTTTGCTAAATTACAGGGGTTTTACTTATCTTATTTTGACAATTTATCTTGAAAGGTTTAAGTTTTAGGGGAATTTTTTTATTTAAAATAGTTAACTTACTAATAAAGTTGGCAACATTTAAACGTTTATATAAGGAAGTAGAAAGTGGAGAGTCTAAACTCTTACTTATTCCTACAAGATCATTAAAATTTTGTGGAAATTAGTTTATTTAAAACGAGAACAACAACCGTCTTAATCATTTTGACCACTCATCCACTTAGTTGACAAACTAAAAATCCAAATTAAAAATTTGAAATAAAAAAAAATATTAAAAACGAAAGAAAGTAAAAAGATTTTTTTTATGAGTTTGAGTGGGTGCAAAAACAGAAATGGCAACAAGAAATATTAAAAATGTCTCATTTCATTTTCTGTACTTTTTGTGAATTTTTCTCGTTTTCTTGAAATACATTTCCAATTTAATAACTCAAAGTCTTTAAATGCATTCAGCCATTTTATTTAGTAATATTTGGAAAATTTGCCAACAATTTTTTGCAAAACATATTTTTCTTCTTTTCTTTATCGCAGGCCAAAATACGATTTTTTTTGATGAGGGAAAATTTTTTGAAAAAAAAAATCCGAAATAAAAATTAAATCAAATGATTCATAAATAGTCAAGAATTAAGAACATTTTGATGTTTAAATATTTTAATGATTTTTTTCTTCATTGGTTTTTTGGTTTTTCGTTTATGATGTCTTTTTCAATTTGGTACAGGATGCTGATTGAGTGTCAGCGCACATTTTCGAGCAAATGTGTTGATAAACCTAATTTTTATTAAAATTATTTTTTTCTTCTTGGTCATAATAAAAATTATTATAATCGTAATTTTGAGAAATATTTAATGAAAATTGACATTTTAAAAGAAATTGGGAATGGATTTTAAAAAAGAATGTGAATGTAAATTATGTATTTAGGTGATGCATTTCCTGCTTAAGGCAAAAATATTGTAATAAATAATTTTAAAATATTTTAAAATTAATTATTATTAAATTTAATTATAAATTTAATGAAAATATTTCTCAAAAAAAGTAAATGAAATATAGAAATTTAATTTCAGATCAGAGATAGGCAAAGAGTTCTCTTCAGTCTCATTCCTCTTCCTTTCACAACAACGTAAGCTCACGCAAGAACAAAAACAAACAAATGCAATCAGGGAGCTTATTTTTCACTCTCTGAAGAGAGAGCTCACATAGAATCTCTTTGTCAATATCTGATTTAGTTAATAACTCTGAGAAAACAAATAAAATGATTTCTTTTTTTAAATGTTTTCTTTCTTGTTTTTAATTTTTAACTGAATTTTTACTCTCATCACTTTTTAAAAATCATACATATATTGATTTTTATATTTAATAAGAATTTTTTTTAAAAAATTTGAAATTATTTAATTCATAAAATTTTTAGTCTACTTTCTATTCAGCACGTAGATTTATAATTAATGTCAAAAATTACTCTTAGCAACAGAATTAAAACAAATTTTAAAACCTTTGCAGTGTTGATGACTTTTTCATATTTGTCATTTCTGCACCATTAATTAAATGTAGAGAACTTAATAAATTGTTTAAAAATATTATTAATTAATAAATTTATTTGAGTTTAAAATTTGACTAAAGGGAGTTGAAATTTATTTCCATTTCAAAATTAAAAACTTATGTATTTGTTTTGTTTCTGAACTCAAATTTGTAGGTCAAGTTGTACAAATTAAAAAAAAAAAGTCCACAAAGATAACGAAATTTTATAAAGATTTGGTTTTAGATAAGGCATCGGCAGTGTGTGAAAAATGAACTCTTTGATGGGCGTCTATAGTCTAGTCTACACAGAGGGAAAAAGAAATATACACGCTTGGTACCAAATTGATACCAAACTATTTATAATTTTTCAATACCATACGTACGACACGGATTGTTTGTCAATAGTGAGCTTACCACCTTTGTTAACATTTAGACAACGGATGTGTATTAAATTTAGATTTCGACAACGAATTATTGCAATGTTGTCAACAAAAATTATAAACAGTTTGGTGTTAATTTGGTACCAGGCGTGTATATTTATTTTTCCCTCTGTGTATAGTCTATTCTATAGTCTAGTCTATAGTTTAGTCTATAGTTGTTGTTATGACTATTTTTTTGTTGTAATCTAGTCTATAGTCTAGTCTATAGTCAAGTCTATAGTCTAGTCTATAGTCAAGTCTATAGTCTAGTCTATAGTCTAGTCTATAGTCTAGTCTATAGTCTAGTCTATAGTCTAGTCTATAGTCTAGTCTATAGTCTAGTCTATAGTCTAGTCTATAGTCTAGTCTATAGTCTAGTCTATAGTCTAGTCTATAGTCTAGTCTATAGACTAGTCTATAGTCTAGTCTATAGTCTAGTCTATAGACTAGTCTATAGTCTAGTCTATAGTCTAGTCTATAGTCTAGTCTATAGTCTAGTCTATAGTCTAGTCTATAGTCTAGTCTATAGTCTAGTCTATAGTCTAGTCTATAGTTTAGTCTATAGTCTAGTCTATAGTCTAGTCTATAGTCTAGTCTATAGTCTAGTCTATAGTCTAGTCTATAGTCTAGTCTATAGTCTAGTCTATAGTCTAGTCTATAGTCTAGTCTATAGTCTAGTCTATAGTCTAGTCTATAGTCTAGTCTATAGTCTAGTCTATAGTCTAGTCTATAGTCTAGTCTATAGTCTAGTCTAGTCTATAGTCTAGTCTATAGTCTAGTCTATAGTCTAGTCTATAGTCTAGTCTATAGTCTAGTCTATAGTCTAGTCTATAGTCTAGTCTATAGTCTAGTCTATAGTCTAGTCTATAGTCTAGTCTATAGTCTAGTCTATAGTCTAGTCTATAGTCTAGTCTATAGTCTAGTCTATAGTCTAGTCTATAGTGTAGTCTATAGTGTAGTCTATAGTCTAGTCTATAGTCTAGTCTATAGTCTAGTCTATAGTCTAGTCTATAGTCTAGTCTATAGTCTAGTCTATAGTCTAGTCTATAGTCTAGTCTATAGTCTAGTCTATAGTCTAGTCTATAGTCTAGTCTAGTCTAGTCTAGTCTATAGTCTAGTCTATAGTCTAGTCTATAGTCTAGTCTATAGTCTAGTCTATAGTCTAGTCTATAGTCTAGTCTATAGTCTAGTCTATAGTCTAGTCTGTAGTTTAGTCTATAGTCTAGTCTATAGTTGTTGTTATGACTATTTTTTGTTAAAAACTTACCTTCTTTTTATCTCTCATTGATCCTTTGCCTCTGACCATAATTTTACAGCCTGTTTCTTGTTCCAACTGTTTGGCGGTCATACCACGAGGGCCTAAAATTCTACCCACGAAATTAAACTGCAAATAAAACAATAAAAAACAGAAATAAATTAATAAATCATATAACAAAAAAATAAGTACATAGAAATAAAAAGTTTCTAAAGATTATTTTATAGATTTATAGATTCGTTACCATAATTTAAATGTCATGAGCTTTTTAAGTAAATGATTTATAAGTCAGCATTAGATTTGAAACTTTTGGAATTAGACAGCAGCAAACAGAAAACAACAAAAAAAGATTATCTCGAAAATTGTCTAAACATTAAATTGAAATAATTGCAGACCAACGAAACAACCAACATTCCATGGAAAATTCAAGGTTTTCTTGCAACAAGTTCATATAAAAAAATTTAAATATTCAAAAGTGTTTAAAGTTAAAAATTGTCAAATTAACCTGTCACTGGGAAAAAAGCAGAACCTGAGAAAATGCAAAATTATAAATATACTACCTTAACATCTGTAAATAAACATATTTCAAAGTCAAAATTATTAATTAGCATGTGAAGTATGCTAAAATAATATTAAAAATCTAAACTGCAGGCCAAATAAATACACCTAAAGAAAATTCTGTAAAATGTATTTCAATTAAAAGCAACAACCCTAAAAATACATTTAAAAAATCATAGTTATTGATTTAAATATTTTTTTCTTTTGTTTTAAAAAAATTCAAATTAATAATGATAACTAATGGTTATTTCTCTCAGTGTTTAATCTATAATAGTTAAACAAATAGTGACGAAATTATAATATTGACTGCAGCAAAAAATAATATAAAAACCAATCATAATTTGACCTGAGGCCAAATGTTTCATATTGACACGATATTGTATATAATATCGTGTATGCATGAGTTTAAAAACAAACCGCCTACACGGAGCAAAAATTAACACAACAACTACAAAAACAGTAAAAGTATAAATACAAACATCGATGACTACAAATCAAATTGTAATCGTTTGCTACACATCAATTACTCACACTGTGCTGTGGCTGGCTGCTGCAGATATGGTGAAATCATTGAAATTATATTAAAAATTTAATAAAATTTTGTGAGTTGTGAATAAAGCAAATAAACCCCCCATCTGAATTATGCCACCAATAAACGAATTCCTAGTATGTATTTAACCTTTGTGATACGAAACACGCATTTAATACATACTTCTCCACATACAGAAGCAAAGATTTACATCATTAAATAAATGCAAATTCACAATAAATAATAGGCAGTCATTCAATCAGTGAGGGAAAGATATGTATTCATGTATTAAGATATTTTCGGTAATCTATTCTATTGTTTAGTCTATAGCCTAGTATATATTCCACTCTATAGTATAGTCTATAGTCTAGTCAGTCTATTCTAGGCCATAGTCTAGACTAGACTATAGACTAGACTATAGACTAGACTATAGACTAGACTATAGACTAGACTATAGACTATAGACTAGACTATAGACTGGACTATAGACTAGACTATAGACTGGACTATAGACTAGACTATAGACTAGACTATAGACTCGACTATAGACTAGACTATAGACTAGACTATAGACTAGACTATAGACTAGACTATAGACTAGACTATAGACTAGACTATAAACTAGACTATAAACTAGACTATAGACTTGACTATAGACTAGACTATAAATTAGACTATGATTTAGCTATTGACTAGTTTATCGACTGATAGAAAATTTATTTGTTCGTTAAGGTAACTTAGTTCATATTGTTAAAGAACAAATTCCTTTCAAGCACTGCTAAACATTACAACAATGAACCATTGATTTTCATACTTCAAAAAGATATTGCATGACAGTTGTTTTGATTATTTTCTGAACACTTTAAGCATGCCATTCTTTACATCAAACACAGCATAACTTGTGTCCAGCTGGTGCACAGTGGGGGAGTTTCAAAAAAAATCTAATAATTGAAAATTTTTGAAAATCATTTAAAACGTTTAAAATTGAACTTTGGGTGACCAAAGAATGAAGTTGGATGTAGTAATATTTCAAATTTAGGCTTTATAGCTATAAATCGGGGTGTAAGACCCTTTTCTTATCGGGAGTAAGGAAACATTTGTTTCTTTTCAATTTGAAGTCATTGTTATTTAACAATCGAACAAACAGTTTAGAAATTAAAGAGATATTTTAATATTAATTCCAAAACTCCTCCATTGTGCAGCATTGCATGCTTTCATAGCAAAAAAATATGAAGATGTGTGCAATATTGAATAGTTTAGGATTGTTGGCAGCCAATTTAACAATTATTATGATTTGTTCTTCTTTTTTGCTTTTGCCTACAATCAATCATTTAACTCTAGTTTAAAAAAGCATTTACATAAAATATTCCACACTTGACACGGCGGCAGTTTGTTTTATTGAACGTGAGTGATTTCAAAGCGATTACAATTTCAAAATAATAAAAAGAAATTCAAATTAAATTGGAAATTAAAAAAATACAATAATTAAATCATCATGATTAATAAAAATGGGTGTGGGGTGTTTAAGTTAATAAAAAAAACTAAAAAGCTACTGCATGTATTAAGTTTATTACAACACCTAAATAAATAATTTCAACTAAATTAAAACACATAAATTATCGTCCTCAATATCATCAACAAATTAACAAAAACATTTGAATTTAATTTAACTTCAAGCCAAGTTCAAGCCACCCACTAAGCCAACTTTTTTCAACATATTTACTTATTTGTTTAATTTAATAATTATGTACGTTATTGTTTATTTTACAACAAATAAACCTGTTGTATTTTGTTTACAAATCCCATACAATCAATATTATTTTAAATTATTATTTTTTAATCTATGAGAGTGTTTGAGTGAATGTGTGTGAGAGAGATCAAGCTGCTGTTGCTCCGTAACATTTACGTAGCTTTTTTTTGTAGCGCCAAAGATCAAATCAATTTAAACATTATAAGCCACACATTCTAACGTATTTGAATCAAAGTGTTTGTTGTATATTTTAATGAATGCCATTTATGATGATCAAACCAACGATATTTATGATCGTAGTGATGATGGTTATATTTTAGCTAAACAATTGTGGTGTTTGTTACAAATTGAGGGTTAATGTGGAATGAATGCATTATTTGTTGTAATGGAACTTTGCAATGAGGTAGTTTTACAATAAAATGATTTACAGTTACTAGCTGTAAAAGCGTAGAGGTGATCGTTGCAATATAGTCTTTATAGGATGTATTATTTTAAAAGACATTATCTTTACAACATATAGTTTACATATTATAGTTATACCCTACACCACTTTAGTGGGGAGGGTATATTGGATTTGTGCTGATGTTTGTAACATACAAAAATATTCGTCCTAGACCCACCTTAAAGTATACCAATCGGCTTAGAATCGTTTTCTGAGTCGATTAAGCTATGTCCGTCCGTCCGTCCGTCTGGCTGGCTGTCCATGTAAACCTTGTGCGCAAGCTACAGGTCGCAATTTTCAAGATAATTGGATGAAATTTGGCACGCACGTTTTATTTGACCCAAGGACGAAGCCTATTGAAAATGGTTAAAATCGGTCCATTATTTCACCTAGCCCCCATAGAACAGAACCCCCCGAAAAGGGCTTCTGAGCTCATAATTATGTTAAATATACAGATATATCGATAAATTATGGCACAACTAAGTTTTATAGAAGTCTTGATAACCCTGCCAAATTTCATAAAGATCGGGCCCCATTTGACCCTAGCTCCCATACAAAGTCCCCTTCAGAAAATTACTTGAATGTCCCAAATTAACTTATAAACACAAATATCCCGATGAAATTCACCACAATAAAATATTATGTAAATATAAATATATTCGCAAAATTTTATCGGGTTTGGTCCATATTTGCCCCTAGCCCCCATATAAAGCCTCTTTCAGAAAATTAGTTTTTCATCAATAAATTGCTTAAATGTATCGGAACAAGTGAATATTGATGATAAATGTTTTATTATGAAAAATAAATCACATTTAATATTCATAACTGGTGTAGGGTATCATATGGTCGGCCACGCCCGACTATACTTTCTTACTTGTTTTTATATGTAGCTGAACTAGAACTGAATTTGAACTAGAACTGAACTAGAACTGAACTAGAACTGAACTAGAACTGAACTAGAACTGAACTAGAACTGAACTAGAACTGAACTAGAACTGAACTAGAACTGAACTAGAACTGAACTAGAACTACTGAACTAGAACTGAACTAGAACTGAACTAGAACTGAACTAGAACTGAACTAGAACTGAACTAGAACTGAACTAGAACTGAACTAGAACTGAACTAGAACTGAACTAGAACTGAACTAGAACTGAACTAGAACTGAACTAGAACTGAACTAGAACTGAACTAGAACTGAACTAGAACTGAACTAGAACTGAACTAGAACTGAACTAGAACTGAACTAGAACTGAACTAGAACTGAACTAGAACTGAACTAGAACTGAACTAGAACTGAACTAGAACTGAACTAGAACTGAACTTGAACTGAACTAGAACGGAACGTTCAATTCCAAACGATTGAATTTATATTAAAGTTTAAGTGTTACCGCCTTTCATTAAAAATCATTTACTCTATTTATTCGCTTTATAGTCTTTTTGTTAAATAAAAAGCAATAAAAACAAAAACTAATCAAATTAAATTAATAATGTTTATTGTTAAAGGAAGTTCGGTTCAATGCCTCAAAAACTATATTTGTCATTAAAAATTATAAAGACAAAGCAAGAAAAAAGCCACTAATTATACTTAGAACTCATAGCAAGACAAGTATCTAACAAATACGCTTAGATACTTAAAGACTTAAGGGCGTAAACATTAATTGATTCTAGATACACAAACGGAAATGAATAAATATATAGAAAATATAATTTCTTAATTATTTGGGTTTAACTACATTTTCTTTAAAAAAAAAAATAATTTTATAAGAAAATAAAATGAAAAGGGAAGGAAGTTGTTTTTGAATTTATACCCAAATTGTTGTAATAAATTTTCTTGAGCTATAATTTTCC